ATTATACTCAAAATCTATTTTTATTATCTAATTATAAAATTTTAAATTTCAAAAATGGTTAAAATCAAGTAGATCTATCAACATCCGAAAATCTTGAAAATGGACGGTGTAGATAATATGTTGTAAAATGCACTATTTCTGAGACTTAAATCTTGTTATTTTTCATAGTCATACATCTCGAAGTCGAGATGATCAATCAAAGGGTTTTTCAACATTAAAACTACCTTTTCCGATGGATTTTTAAGGGGCATCCGTAGTAATATATTATAAGGTACCATCCTTATATAAACTTTTTCCAAATCGCAGACACGCAAATAAAAAGGTAATATGATTACTATTTCTGTTCTATTACTTCATGTACAAAAATATGCTATCACATAAGAAATAATGCATACCAGTGCTCCTTGTACCACTCGGATACAAGGGGGATATCTTCAGCACGCCGCATTCGACCAGATCTCATATTAAAAGGCCTAGGAGCAAACAACAAAGAAATCCCAGGAGCTGTAGTATCAGTATACAATTGGGTGTTCTGCAACAATGGTTCCACCCCTTCTGGAAGATCGAAGCCATCAATATCATCATCATCATACACTTTCTTATCACGCCTCTCCTTATTGATCGACGTGATGGGGTGAATCAAAGGATCATAGTAAAATGCAGGAAGATCGGGGTCTTCTGTCTTTATGTACATTACCATAGGAGTATGGTACACCCCCAGCTTTACTTTTCTTGGCCTATTGTTGTAAAGATGGGGAAATGCAATTTTATACTCAGTCCTGAGTGGCGAACGTATAATAAGCTTATTGATGTCATTGAATTCGTTCCAATCTTCATCTCCTTTTTCCATATCACGATACAACGGCTCAAATTTGGGACCTCCTGAAGAAAGAACAACAATGATGAGCTGAAGGGAAACTAATTACAGTTTGTTACTTGCCTAAAAGAAGAGAATAAAACAATAAAAAATTGCATATGCTTTACCAGGTATGCACATGTTAAGTGCTTTGGCAGTGAAAAATGACTCCATGTCAAACAAGTAAAAGTAGTTGCGATCAATTAGATCAGAAAGTAGTTGTCCAGCAAGCCGATGCAGGGTTGCCATAATTGGGAGAGACAGATTCCACCTTCGATAACTTGGACCATTGATGAACAATGTTTTCACTAGCGGTTTGTGGTCATAGAACCATGTATGTACAGCAATATCTTCTTCAGGATCCAACTCTAACTGTATAGGCTCAAGGGGATCCACATCAAGTAAATTATCAGCATAATCCAGAGGGGGTTCCTCATCATCAAAAGGTGGAAAACGCATCCGTTTAAAATGACGCCTATCCCTTTTCTCCCTCCGCATCATGATCCACATTGTCCCCCACTGTTATAATCCATTTTAGTAAGTACCATAGTAACGCAGTAAAAAATAAATAAATAATGGCAATAGGATTATACACAATGTAAACTGTTAAGAGGAACATTAGACAAAACAAAAAGATCAAAACAAGCATACTTGCGCCAAATATATTGGTTCAACCACCCATGGGATCTCATTCACAAATGTTATTGCACCAGTGATGTGATACAAAATCTTTACATTGCGAACCTGCAAAACAAGCAAAGACTGTAAGCTAAAGGAAGAATTGTGCTAGGAAAGAACCTTATGTCATGCAATGAGAAACTAAGGCATATGATAAATAACAATCACAGACCTGCTCCCAGGGCATTGGCATGTTCTCAAGAAGCTTGTAAACTGCATGGGGAACAAATTTCAGTGCCCCAAGGTACACACGCTTGTCATGGCGATATTTCTTGGAGGACATGTCCCCATGATCTCTGTTAAGTGTCAAACAAAAAAGAATGGAAATAATTTCAGGGGACCTGAGTGTACATTCAAGGAAATTGGGGAGGTGAATTTAAATACCATATGACCACCAGTTTATTATAACCCAATAACATCACATTTCAAACTTTATGGCAGCAACTGCAGGCAACAATGTAATGTCGCTAATGGAAAGAAAGAGAACACTAATTCAATATAGACACAATCAATGCAATAAATATAGTTTAATTTTGAGTATATGAGAGCACTACAAGCTGCCATTTAGAAGACAGAGTACCAATGAAGTATATCCAATGTCTCAATTGGCAAGAAGCTGAGAATTAGATTAAGTTTGAATTTTACCTTGAACCATTCACAAAATAAATCCTTGGCAGATAACTAATCATTATTTCCTTTAGCTAGATGGGTAAATAATTATCCAACATGGAAGTGCCTACAGCTCATTGCATTTAAAATTCACAACCATGGCAAATAGCAACAGGCCTAGAAGAAGAATAGAAGTGAAGAATTGGACTACCACAGCAAACATCCCCTGTTCATCTGGTTCAATTCAGAAAACTAAAGATAGACAATATATATATAGGAAGCCACTATGCAACGCCTATAGGCGAAAATGAACAATGTTTTCATCCATAGGCTCGACGCCATCAATTTTTTCGAACGGCGAGGCTTAAAGACCGCCACGAACCTAGCATGTCCGTGGCGGTCAAACCGTCACGGACAAAGCAAGTCCGTGGCAGTCAAAAAATATGCGGAACCGCCACGGACCACACACCATCCGTTGCGGCTCCGTTCAATAAACCGCCACGGACATAGCATGTCTGTGGCGGATAACACTATAGCAATTCGCCTGTAGGCTATATATATATATATATATATATATATATAGGGAAAGGATATTGTCAGCCAATGGCCCAGATTGAATTTGGGCCGATGGAATGGTCACGACTTCATTTCGTGTTTGAATTTTCATTTTTTTTTCTATAAATCCAAATCACTTGAAATTTGGAGTGTCTATCCTTCAAAAATAGTAGAATCTAATAAAAATATAAAAAACTAATTCGCATAATATAACTTGATCAAAATACCCTTGAAAAGTTTTGGGGTATTTTGGTCAATTTATTTTGCGAATTATTTTTTTTATATTTTTATTTAAGTGCACCATGATGAAAAGAATGAGGCCTAAAATTTCAAGTGATTTGGATGTGTAGGAAAAAAATGAAAATTCAATTACGAAATGAGGTCATGACCGTCAAATCGGCCCAGATTGAATCTGGGCCATTGGCTGACACTGTAGCAGTCAGCCTGTGGGCTGACAAAATCCACACACACACACACACACACACATATATAGATATAAATATAAATAGAACACTTGTTTCAATGCGGGTTGGACCGCATTTGTACAATATGCGGTCTAGAGGTATAAAGCATCCATCTTAAAGACGGATGCAAATAGGTGGTCCATCTACAAACAATTGGAACTAACAGTCCAAATGTTTTCTTAATAGAATTATTATTTCTAACTTTTAAAATTTATTTATTTTTCATATTCAGGATCTCCATGTTAAAGATTATATATTATCTAAAAATTACGATCGAATTTTATTTCAAAAATAAATTTATTAAGAGGCCCACATTTCTACATGTGCAAGCTTGGCCGCATGCTAACCGTGTCCACCTATATATAGCATGTAAGTTAACTGCGTAAAGTCATTGTTCCAAGCCTCCAAAAGTACAATGCAAAAGTTCGTGTCTATGGCAAGAAGGCTGGCCAAACTCTAAAGTCTAAACCAATGTTTTCAAACTCAACTCGGGCATTGGAATTGCCCGAGTCCCAATGGACTAGGTCGAGTCCTATACAAGATAAAAAAAAAGGGCTAAAAATTCAAAAAATCTGTCAAAAAAATTGCTAAAACAATTAAAAACAGCAAAAAGTAAAATAAATAACACAAATATTGAATATAAAAGTCCAAATAAGTGTATAAACGATAGTCTATTAAAAATTGATTTATACTTGAAATATATCAGAAAATAAAAAAGGGAAAAATTAAAAATTTGGAGCATGTAGTAAGAAAAGTTTCCAAAACCATATACATCGCATAAAAATGTATTTCTAAAATATATATGGGCGATTTTTTTGAAAAAATTGACGATTTCATAACAAAATATACGAGTTTTTCTAATAATTTTCAACAGGGGCGAGTTGACCCGAGACAGCCAAGTCCTTGAACACTGGTCTAAACCATTTTTGGAAATCGAATCCATGGAATGGAACTTTGGATGTCTGATTGCAAGACCTGCATGGGCTGGGAAAAGATTGCAGTGGGAGGCTGAATATTCAAAGAAATATAGCAAGGAGCAAAAAGACATCATTGTCATCCATGTTCTTTAAGTGCACCCAGCAAAAGCTAACCTGGTATTACACTCAAAAGTAAATAGAATAAAGGCATTACTATGTCTTACCACTTAAAGTATAAGTCGGCAACCCCTTTGCGCATCAGAAACAAATCCCCCGTAATCATACAACTGCCTCTTTCAGCTAATATCCATATTCAGTATATTTAACTCGTTATTTCATATTCGTTACAAGAATCATAGTCCACAAATGAGATCATGAGACTTTTTTCAGTTGAATCTCAGTTGCTCTAAAATTAGCTCTAAGTGTATGATTTACTGGTCTTGTTTGTCTTATATCACCAATTTTAACATTAGGATGCCCCCTTCTGGTGTTCTAATGTGCCATCTTATCTTGACCTGAGGTTGAACCCATGGAAGGAGAGATACATAGTCCTGTATTTGGTTCTGGAACTTATTGATAAGAAAAAAGAGAGTAGCTAGTTTTTTTGTGTTCTATTGGGGTCTCAGGCGATCCTTTTCATAATCTGCTTTGGTTGTGCTTCAAGGTACTCTAGACAATTAAAATGAACACCCATACAACTGAGATTCAATTGTTCACTCTCAGCTAGCAATTGTAAGAATCAGTTCACTCTTACCAGGCAGCCGTCGTCTAAAATGCATGCCGTCTACACCGAAGAACCAGACCAGACCCATTTTACCAGCCGCTACTCAACTAATAGAACACATAGTCTTCTAAACATATTAGGGAAAGTCTACGACAAGCATCTAATGAACAGAGCAACACAGAATCAGTTGACATTAAGGCAAACAGAAACAACTCCAGTTAACGCCAACAGTATCTCAAAGAACTATCCATTAAAGGAAATAGAACATAACGAGTTTTCATTTACCTTATGATCTTGCGCACATGTTCAGGAGGCATATCCTCTTTCTGAGTTTCCACAAATCCAAATTTCCTCTTATCTCCATATCTCTTGTTGTTAAGCTGCATCCATTTTCGAGCTTTCTCCTCCAACCTAGCTTCCGTCTCTTCAGCAGAAAGAGGCACACTGTAAGATGGTTGCACTGCAGGAGGTGGAACTGCCTGTGCCGTTCCTGGAGGGGCCATATGAGGCCCAACTCCATTGTTCCACATCTCTCTTTCTCTCTCTAGATTCTCTTGTTTTCTACCGGTTTAAGAAACCCTAAATTTTCTCACTCTTCTCCAGCTGCGAGAAAGAAATTGAACCCTCAATGTTTACAGAGCAAGAGCTCTAAGACCTAAATGATTTACCACTCTTCAGCAGCTGCTTAGGTAAGAGGGTTCAATGGCTCCGAGAATTGGTAATTAAGACGGAGGGGTGAAGGGTTTAGAGCGTGATAGAGGCCGTGTTCCACCGCAGAGCGGCGCGAGAGCATTTGAGCGACTAGGGGGGAGAGGCGGTCGCGGCGAATTCTAATTTATACAGGGACACCATTTGGCGACTCTTGAACGCACTTAAAAAAAACCACTTACGATTTAATAAAAAGGGTAGCGGCTCGTCATCAATTATTGAATTACTTTGAAAAAAAAATTTGTATAACTTTTATACGTAGAGGTCACAATTTATGATAACCTTCCCATGTAAAATCTGAAAGGGGTTTCAAGGTTATTAAATCAAGTAAGAGCCGTCATCAACCACTAAATTATCTAAAAAAAAGACTATTTAACTTTTGTATAGAGAGGCCACAATTATCGGCAGCCATCCGTAATAAAATCTGAAAGGGGTTTTAGGATTAGGGTGAGGTTTACGTAAGCTTGACGCATACCTTACGTATCGAAAATCTTTGTGATAGCCAAAATATTTGAAAGTATGAAATGAGACTATTTACCTTTAGTACAAGGTGGTCCCATTAATCTTGACCATGTAATATTGGGTTGCTGCAATTATTCCATTGACCAAACTCAAACTTCAAAAGAAATTTTCTCAAACTTTGTGATGCATCCAACTTATCAAATTTCACATCGGATGATTATAAGCAATTATGACCACCTTGTATCAAAGATAAACAGTCTCATTGTATATATATCCTTATTTATTGTCATCTTTAATTATAGATTTTAAAGCTTTAAAAATAGTACAGCCAAAAAGATCTATGAACATTTGGAAATATAAAAATGGGCGGTCTAAATAATGCATTACCAAATGTATTATTTTTGGGACTTGAAATCTTTCCTTCTTTTTTTCCATATTGATCCATCTTGAGGTCAAAATAATAAATTTGAGGATTTTTCATTATCGGTACAACCTTTTCTAGTGAGTTTTTTTTATGTGCGCCTTAATTTTATATTATAAGATTGACAACTTATACAAACTGTCCTTCAAAAAAATAGTTAAATGTTTCAATTTGAATTTTTAAGAAAATCTTTGTAATTTTTATTGGGTAGTAAAACATTTAATGTAATTTTTATAGCTTACACTCATATCTTTTTTTAGAAGAAAATTTTAAAATACGTCAAGTTTCGAACTTCAGAGTTCTGACCCGGTTTATTTTTTGTAGTACTTGGAATTAAGTGAACTTGGCATTCTGACTTGAGAAACAAATAGTAGGCCATGACGTCAAGTTCTTACCAACTAAACCCTAAATTAGATAGTGCGTCAAAACTCTATACCAATCTACCCATTCTTAAAGTATATTCCAATCTAAGTTCAGACCGGCTACCTATTTAATTCCCCACCCCATTCCCTATTCTTTTTTACTCACTCTCCCGCGCTCTCATATCACTTTCCCCCTCCCCCTTGGGCTCCACCCCCTCCCCAGGTCCCCACGCCCCGCTTTTATCTCCTTCGCTCTACCTGTTCTGCTCTGCGTCTTCTTTGAATTGATGCTTCCAAACCTTAAAAGCTTCAACCCGTGCTCCAAAATCAAATGTGATCCACGCTCTCTCCCTCTCTAAATCCTAGTCTATCTCCATTAAGTCACCTAAATACCTCTAAAATTCTCTCTCTATCTCTCTCTTGGTTGTTCCCATTTATTTCCCTTTTTTTAGCTAAAGAAAAAAAGAAATTTATCGAAACTAGGTATTTTTATGTAATGTTGAGATTTAATATATGCATTTTGCGTTTATGTACATTTGTATGTGTTGTATCTAGGGTAAACCATGTAATGAATGCGTAGAAATGGTTTAAAACTACGGGTTTAATTTTCCCCCATTTTGTGAGAGAGAGTGCCAAATTTATTCTTGTGAAGTGTAAGTTAAATCTAAAGTTTTGTTTACCTTTCACCTCCAGGTTTGCTCACGGTCCACTTTTCTTGTCTCTACCTAACTATTTCTTTTCAGGCTTTATTTATGCACATAGCTCAAGAAGCAAGAATTATATCTACTTATTTGTCGTAATTTTGAGTAAAATGACAATGATGTGTCTCAAAAGCATTTCATTATACTACCATCCACTGCCTTTGATACATAGATTGATTATGGAGTGAGGTCTCAGTTTGGTTTTGTATATGAAGGTTGTATTTTGACTAATAAATTGATATAAAGATATAAATAATTGATTAAGATTCAGAATTAACATTTAACTAATATTAATATGGGGTAAACTACTATTTAGAATGATGGAAAATATCTTTTTCGTGGTAACACTATGTTGTGCTATCTACTCGACTTGTGTTAAATTATTTTAAAGAAGTATTGATATTAAGTAAACTATTGCCTAGAGCAGATAAATGTGTTATTTCTGTAGTGCCATTATTTTGTACCACCCGCAACATTTTAAAGATTTTTTTTTTGACACTTTTCCTTAAAGAAATTAACATTTTAAACTGTACATATTGTTTTATTATAGATTTTAAATGTAGAAGTCAATCTAGTTTTTATATGATCTATATTTAATTTTTAATTAATTTTATAGCAATGTGCTACCCTCTTAACTTGTGTGAAATTTATTTTAAAGATCAATATGAATGTATAATTTATTTAAAATGGTCATACTATTTCAGTATAGATTTTAAAGGGATACGAACATTACACCTTAACATAGGGGCTTTATACTTTAATTGTGTAGAAGATTATACGTTTTTTATTGTGGTCTTCGCATACTAAATTGTACGTCTTACTATAAATAATATTTTATTTTTTAAGCTATTTAGATTTATTAATCAACTTTTTTAGGAGTCTGTATTAATTGTAAGTTATAATTTATTATAGCTTATCAAGAATAATTTAAATATTTATAAGTCATTAGTTATAATTTATAAAATATATATTTATAGGGAAAAATTACAAAAATACATCCTAAAATAGACTATCTATGCAACTTACCCCACCCCAATATTTTCTCTCACTTTTTTTCCCAAAACAACATTTCCTAGCCGAAACCCCCCAAGGTAAAAAGTTGTTATTTTTTGGACGAAAATGCCCTTCCCGTACAAACCGAATCAATTCGCGGGTCCCAACTGCCGGAGCGCACATTCAGAATGTCGGAGCGCTTGTTTATATTGCCGAAGCGCGGTCCTCCATTGTCAGAGCGTTGTGGCTCCAGAGACTTCATTGCCAGAGCAGAATGCTGGAGCACATCTTTGCACTACCGGAGTGAGTTCTCGTAATGCCGGAGCACTGCGGCTCAGACTTGCATTGCAGGAGCGCACATTCATAATGCCGAAGCGAGTGTTTGTACTATCGAAACGTGTGTGAAAATAGGAGAGAGAAGGCCGTGTGAAAACAAACAATGGTAGATTAGTCTTATTTCATCTTACTTTTGGGTTGGGGGGTTATTCGAGAGGAATGGTTGTTTGGGGAAAAAAAGTGAGAGAAAAGATTGGGGTAGGGGTAAGTTGCATAGATAGTCTATTTTAGGGCGTTTTTTGTAATTTTTCCTATTTATAGCTTATATATTTTTTGGTTATATCTATAAGTTATAATTTATAGCATATAGATAACAATTTAAATATTTTTATGTTATAGACATATTCAACTACAATATATGAAAAATGATAAATAAATAATCTGCAATTCAATATTTTTATATTGAAATATATATTTTATTGTTTTAAAAGAATTTGATTTTACAGAAATTTGGAGGCTCATCAAATATTGGTGGTGAGTATTTTAGTAATCTTAAGTAAACTTCTGCTTAGAACAATATAATGCGTCTTTTTTGTAGTAGCAATATGTTACCCACTCAGCTTGTGTAAATTTTATTTTAAAGAAGTTAAAATAAATGTAGAATTTATTTAAACTTCATACAGTTTTTCTTGACTAAGTTTAAATGGATGTGTGTGTTACATTGCCTAGAAATTAAATAATAGAAGTCCTTCGTTGTAGTTTTGCTGGACTACATTGTAGGTTTGACTTTTTTACATCAATACTATTTAAGAATGAGATAAATGATTTTACATCATAAAAATACTTTATCATGTGTAATTAGCATCTAACTTATCATCTATAACCACATTAAAAATTAAAAGACCAAATGGACCATCTTTAAATGTGTTGTTCATTTCCCACTTGTCGTAAAATTCCAAAGGGAGTGAAATAAATCTAACTCAATATAGTCGTGGAGGCAAGGCACACAGGGGGATAGGG